TTTTTTAATTGAATTATATTATCAGACCCAAAGAATAAGTCTTGCTTTCGCCGTTTCTTCATTATATTTTTTCCATCACAGTCCGTTACTAATTTTAAATATTATTATTTTATGTTATAATCATACAGCAATTTATATAATAATATAATTAAGAATATAATAATTTAAATATATTTTCAATTGTAAAATAAATTGATATATGTATGGAGCTAGTGTTAACAAAGGTATCATTATTATTCATCTTATCATTACATATATATTAAGAATAAGAAGACAATTTCTTACACAATTTATTTATTTTTCATTAAAATCAATTCCTTTTAATTATTAATAATAATTAAACAAATCTGATAAGAGTATTATTAATTTTTATACAAATTAATTAAAAATAAATAATTTTATTTTATATATATAATATATTGAAAGATTTAATATATGATAGAAACTCAAAACCAAAAAATAAATTTATATGAATACCTCAATTTATGATTATAAATCAAACTAATATTGAAGTGAATTTTGAATTTCAATTATTAAACAATAAAATTTAATATGATATGATTAATAACTCATGGTATAAATTGATTTTGGCCTTCAATACAAAAATAAATGGTATATACAAAGATTTTTAAGGAAAAAAATTATGTAAGATACATGTATAAGTAGGAGAATATTGCTTATCATAATCTATTCACATCATTTAATTTTTTTATATAGAATAATTTATTAGATTTTATTATTTTAATTATGTTTTTGAATAACTAGTTTTTTTTTTACTAATTACAAATGGTTTTCATCAAATATATAAAAACACATATAGATAAGAGTATAATATAATGTAATATAATACATATATAATTAACTCATATATATTATCACTGTTAATTAAAAACTAGATTTAAAAGATATATTTATGATAAAATTATTTACAATTTAAAATTCAAAATAGTGTCATTGAAAATTAATATTATATTAAAAATAATTTTTTTAAAAAATAAAACATTAGAAAATAAATAGTAAAACAAATATTTAAAAATTATTTTGTCATAAAAATATTTATAATTAAGATTATCATATAGTTTATTTATTTTAATAATATAAATGTGTATAAATAAAGTATTACATATATATAATTTTGCATAATAAGTTAGTAGATTCATTGAAGGTTTGCAGCTTAACTGATTAAGTCGCGCATGCATTCCTAGTTCGAGTCGTGGAGAAATCATTTTGAAAAGAAATTATGTAGCCACAACATGTGGCAGTAAAAGTAAGGTGACAATAACATATGGTGACAATCCTCTCTTGATGCTTAGCTTTTGAGTCGATTTGTACTTGTTTGGGAGCCTTCATCCCTTCCCACATTGTTTTGGGGGACATGTAACAGTCAAGCATTCTTTCATTGAGTTTGTTATGATCTCTGTCCTATTTTATGTAACTTAATTAGTTGGCAAAGTCACAATGCAAAATTCAAACTTTCTAAACTACGAATTAATAGTAGGTTACTAATTAAGTTAACTCTAGCTTAGTTCATATGAATCATTATTCCTCACTCCAATGTATATATGATTAAAAAAATGAGGAATATCTTATTTATTAGAATCAACATACACTACTCATCACAACTCCCAATATAGGGATAAGGTGCAAATTGGTTTCCAGAAGTTTCCACGTAGGAGTGTTAATCATCCGAAAGTTTTTTTGGATGCAAATTTATCCAAGAAATTTAAAATTATAGCAATATTACCCTTACTGTTAAGAATGTTAATAGTTAATGTTACTATTTTAATGGTCAGTATTAGCTTTCTTATCGATAAGGGCTAATATTGTTATGATTTTAAAGTTTAGAGGCAAATTTGCATCCTAACAAAATTTCAAGTGTTTAGTGCTTCTGAGCAAAAACTTTTACAACGAACTTGCACCTTAACTCATTAATATAATTCAGAAGACACGTATGAGGTGAAAAAAAATCCAAAAAACACGCGCTGATATTGAGGCGAAGAAATATTACAAACAACAAAATTTATTGACACTGCTTTACTGATAATAAATTAATGTCATACAGTACACTAGTAATGGTTTGGAAAGAACAACAAAATATATATTACATTATATTTATACTCAAAAATGATATTTTAGTCTCTCTTACAGAGATTACTACACTTTATTCCTCAGTTACTAATAATACCATTTAGATATGCCATGGCTGGTGTCTTTTTTGTGGTACAAGGTCGAACACCCTTACCCTTAATTTGATAAACATGAGATTCGATTCGATTAGCACTTAGTGCAAATACTGATCCCCAGCCATTGCACTTTGCGTTCTTCACCCCTTTCAATACAGTGACGTATTTCCACACTTTACCATCCTTAGGCCTTCCGCCAGCTGATCCTTCTTTCCCCATTATCATTCCTTTTTCCTAAGAAATCTGCCTTTTTCCAGCCAATAGAAACGATCTTCACATCACATTCGGGTTGATATAAAAGGGAAGCTAAGTGAGGAATCTGACTGCTTCGTTTGAAAATAGATATATTGAATATGGATACCCTAATCAGAGCAAAACTTAAGAGAAACAAAATAAAGAGAGAAAGTAAGTTACTTGCATCAGGTTTTTGTTGGAAGATCGATAGCGATGATTTGAAGCCAGCAGAAAATAAGGAAGAAGATGAGGTGTATATATATAAAACAATATAATGGCAGTGTCTTCTTTGATCCTTAACGATACATGAAACTATATATGAAGCCATTATTGTAGCCAATTACTCCATGCCTACCCAAAATGAAGGTGATGTAAAGAATCTTTTCACTTTACTAGATTGTTCGGACCTGGCGACGAGGTTGCACAAACTACAATAAACCAAAATTTAAAATTAACAATTTGTCTGGAGAAAGTTTGAACTTTGAAGACGCGTCACAAGTTTGAAACCTTCAGGGGTATTGTGAGGAAAAATCACGAGAGGAAGAAAGTGACTATTATTAATTTATTACTCGTATTACTTTTATTACTGCTTCTTCCTTCTCAAATATAAAACCTATTTTGTAAAGTAATTTGCACTATAAAATGAGTTTCACATTTAAGACCAGAGGAGAAAGGGTAGACTTAATGGAAATGGGAGATAAAAAATTAATTTTGCGTTATCCTAGATTCTTTGAATTTTAAGCACTCTATGCGGTATATGTTATATACGGTAAATATGAATATTTTGTTATCTCCGCCATATTGTTTATTATTACTATCACTACAAAAAACTGGACTTTCAGCGACCACTAATATGACTTTCAGTGGCGACAAGAAGTGTCGCCGCCAAAAGTGATAGTTATGGCGGCGACTTATTATTGTCACCGCTGTAGCTGCAACTTTCAGCAGCGACAAAATTTGTCGCCACCAAAAGTGTACACTCCGGTGGCGACTTGAATTGTCGCCGTTGAAAGTGTACACTTTCAGCGGTGACAATTCAAGTCGCCGCTGAATGTGTTTTTAGTGGCGACTAACTGTCACTGCTAAATGTTCTTTCAGTGGCGACGCTTCCTGTCGCCATTGAAGCTCGCTTTCAGCGGCGACCTTTTGTCGCCGTTGAATCTTCTTTCAGCGGCGACGCTTCCTGTCGCCATTGAAACTGCTTTGTCGCCGCTGAAAGTTTTTTCACTTTTTTTATCATTTTTTTTGTAAAAATTTTATATTATAATCTTTTATTTGTGTAATTAAGTAACTTTGATAATTAATGTTTTTTTATGTATTTTTGTGTTAGAGAGAGACTAAAAGAAAGATAATATGGTGTTTGAGAAAGAAAGGGAGAGGAAGAAAGTTTGGAGTGTGTTTAACACGCATATCCCATATCCAAATGTTTTAGAGATGGAATAGAAAAACATTATGCACTGGAAAGAAATGAGATGGAGGCATGCATGAAAAAGTATGCAAGTTTGAGTGATGGGATAAGTAATGAAGTATAGAGTGTGTGTGAGAGGTGAGAGGTAGATGTAAATATTATTGGAAGAGAGAGTGTGCATGTGTGAGAGAGAGAATGATATTATAATTGAAAGAGATAACATAATTAAATATATGTGAGAGATTATTATAATTAAATTAGTGTGAGCATGCTTAATTGATATAATAATATTTGATGATGAACATATGTATGAGAGGATTGAGAAATAAAATTATTGAAGGAGATAATATAATTAATTAAAAATGTGTGAGAGATATAGATAATAAAATCGTGTATATAGTTAATTAAATATTATTACTATTTATATTTTTTAATTTAAAATGTGATTAATTAAATTTTGTAAAACATACACGGTTGCATATTATATATATTTTGTATTGCTCAATGGTTTCAATTAAATTCATTAGCCTGGCTGGCCACGCTTGTTTATTCCAATGTAGAGGTCCTGTGTTCAAGTCTGACAAATGCCTATTTTTTACACATTAATTTTGGCTCAAAAAGGTTAAAAAATATTTAATTGTTACCTGGCTGGTTCAAATAGGGGACCTGGTAATTATAATAGCTAACACTCCCCCTGCCACTGAAGCCACGTGTGTTATTGGCAAGGCTGGCGCATTGTTTTTATATCTAAAGTTTCTTATTTTGAAACCTAAAACAATTTAACCCGCCCTGATCTTTTGAAAGGTTTACTTTTCCCTCGCTCTCACCAGACCAGTGCCACGCAGAGAAGTTTCAAGCATCTAACTTATTCCAGCGTCCATCTGTGCTTAGTCCATCACTTCCAGTGTTCTTTCTTGCTGTCATCCATGTAAGTGCGCTGATCTTCTTCTTCGCTTGAAGTCTTGTAGTGTTGTATTTTTTTCCCCCCTTTCTTGTTCTGTATTTTGAGATCCCTTTTTTCTTTTTCTCCGGCATTAAATTTCACAGCTGAACACAGAAGGTTGCGAGAAGCGAGTGGATCCTTGTTGGGTGAAATCGTTGTTGGAGGCTTGCAAGAACAAAGATCCATTGCAATATTCTTCTGGCTACAATCAAACCAACAAATTCTTTCCCAGTTTCTGCGTTACCTGCTTGCAATTATAGTGCAAATTCTGCCCTAAAGCAACCAATAATCACCCACATGAAAACCATATAGTACTTCCCGTGGGTGTCTCCGTAATTATTTTATTTGTACATATATACTCTCCCTTTCAAGGTTACCGTGTTAATTAATAATTATTATGTGGACTTGTATTTTCCAGGTTTACAAGGCTTCGCGCGAGAACTGTTTGCATGCAAATCAGGTGTCCAAGTTACTTGATATCTCAGACATACATCCTTTCATTATTAATCATAAACAAGTAGTTTTCATCAACAGAAGATCATGTCAACAAACCAAGTCTCAGAGTAATAAATCTTGCTACACATGCAAGACCTGTGGAAGAGAATTCCAAAGAGAGAGTAAGTTCTGCTCAGTCCAGTGCAAGGTAAGACGACCCTTTTCTTTTCTTTTCTTTTCTTGTTCAACAACGAAATTCTTGTTCTTGATTATAACTTGTTTTGCACTGTAGAGCGAAAGTGGTGAGAATTTAGAGCTGAAACAAAAACTCCAAGGGGAAGAACCTCCCGCCAAGCCTCAGTCTTATTGGAAGAGGAGCAGGAAAGGGGTTTAATTGTTTAATTGTTTGTTTTCAGTCATATATTTGTTTAATTGTTTTTATTTATCTGTCATTTTTAATATAACTATATTATGACTCTGGCTATAATTTTCTGAACAAAGTTGATGTGAATCTGAAACGGTGAAACCTACAATAGTTTGGAGACCATATGATCTTCATAAATTGGGTTTGAGATTTCAGCACAGAGGGGAGGGTACGAATCGGATTTGAATCCTTTATTTGTTCTTGTTTTCCTCTCTCCACATTTCATTCCTGTTATTTAGAATTATTGAGATTAGCTTTTAATTTAAAAGGTACATATACGTAAGCTGAGTAGAAGTCGTGAGATCATGAGTCGTATTCACATTTCATGGTGATGTTAACTAATGAGAATGGTTTTATGGGTGTATTTGTGGAGACTCTTTCCAAGAATGTTTGAGCCCTCAACATAATCATGCATGAAGTTAGGTTAGTTGGTGCAGGACAAGAATGTTTTTTTTTGGTTACATTTTATTATTGGGTTTTACAGTTACCTCCCTAATAAGTTAACTGTTGAAATCTTTTTTATGTATCATTTTACAGTTTTCAATAAAATTGTGATGAAAGTGTTAATTATTGATGGAGTAAATTGGAAGTTTATTGATACTGTTACGTTAATTATATGCATGTTAACAAAAAGTTGTATATTTGGGCCTTATAGGATTAGCAAAACCTGCATGAAAAGTATTATATTATATATACACACTCATATATATAGAGACTAGTATATTGTTTTATGTTTGGTTTCCAATATCTTATAGGCGGATTGCTTTTGCTGTTCAAGATGGGAAACTTGATTACTCGGGAGAAGACTGGGAAATTTTAAATTATCATAAGTGATTAGCAAAACCTGAGTACTGTTGTTTATAGATGCTTTTTATTATGATATATATAATGATCTTCATCCATTCCAATTTGACAGCCTGCAAGAAACAAATAGTTAAGCAGCTTTGTACGTTGCAGAAAACTGTTTTGGAGGGGGATATTACAACAAAAGATAATAAGACTTAGCTTGTACGTTTGATTATTATGAGATCTCTTAATAGTGCAAGCAAAAAGGATCGCTAGCTAGGGCGAGTAGTAAAGCTCTCGTCACTTATAAGTTAACAGTTTATCATCTTCACCCTGCGTCTATGTTGAATTTGTGATGCTTTGTTAGTTTGGCTTATATACTCGTTTAAGTTTGGATTCTCTCTCATTGGTTTTTGTTTTGGTGACACCAAAGTTTCACATATCCTTTTATGTGGTTTAATAAAGTTCAACATAAAATTCATACTAAAAATTATCTACCAAAGTGTTAGGACGTAGAGATTCTAAATGTATAATCCAGTGCTTAAAACGAGGATATATATACTTAACTACTGGATCCAACGAAGCTGGTGAGGAACTTAAGGTTGTCTATCAAGGTCAAAGGTCTATTATTAAATTATAATATTGGTCGTTGCTTAGTTTCTTGGAGTTATTGATGTGGGTAATGTTTAGTAATTAAACTGCAGCTTCCTCCCACCACGTGCTAGCTTCTTCTATTTCTGTCTCTGTCTCTATCTCTATGTGTTGTATGGCTCAATTATTTATCTATTTTCTGTCAAAAATCAAATTGCAGATAGAAGCTGTTTTTTTGGGCCAACTAAGACACTCACACCTTGTGAAACTGATTGGATATTGCTGTGAAGAATAACATAGGCTTTCTGATCTACGAATATCTGCCTAAAGACAGCTTAGAGAATCAGCTTTTTAGAAGTAAGATACATATATATATCATATATAATTTTCTTTTCTTGGTTAACTCAACCTTATTCATTTCTATTTATTTCTTGCACTTTAATATTTATTGTTTTTCCTTTTCTTACATTAATCTTCAACTTTTGTGAAATAGAAATGGATAAAAGTTGGTTAGATATTAAAGACAGAGGCAACCTAAGATATATTAAAGGAGTAGATGGTTTTCTCGAATGGGCTTTTACTTAGGGAGTGACAAGCAAAATACGATGTCCTTGTAAAAAATGTATGAATGTCATATTCAAAGCGAGAAGAGATGTCAGGGTTGACTTATTGAGTAAGGGTTTTGGGATAGTTATAAGGTGTGGGACTTGCATGGGGAAATTATTAGATGTCAAAGTAATTGTGAGACTTCAAGTACAGCAGCAGAACATGATACTTATGGGGAGAACCTTACAAGGATGGTATGTGATGCATATAATGTCCCTTCTATGAATGATATGAACAATGAATTAAATGAGAATGAAGAGCCTAATGTGCATGCCAAAAGGTTCTACGACTTATTAAAGGATGCAGAGATAGAACTTTATCCAGGTTGTGAGAAGATGTCAAAATTGTCTTTTATTGTAAAATTGCTTCAATTAAAGTGTCTTAACCATTGGAGCAATAAATCTATGGATGCATTGTTAGCCCTATTGAAAGATGTTCTTCCAGAGGGGCTTTAGTGCCAAACTCATTCTATGAAGCTAAGAAGATAATTCGTGATTTGGGTTTAGATTACAATAAAATTGATGCTTGTGGAAATGATTGCATATTATACTAGGGGGAACATGCAAATGAAGAATCATGTCCTAAGTGTAAGATGCCTAGATGGAAGTTGAACAGGCAAAAAGGAAAAAAAATTGCCCAGAAAGTCTTAAGGCATTTTCCGATAATACCTAGGTTACAAAGGCTTTATATGGCAAGAGACACTGCTAAAGAAATGAGGTGGCATAAGGAGAAGCACACAAATGATGGTGTATTGAGACATCCAACTGACTCTCTTACTTGGCAACACTTTGACCAACAATACCTTAGCTTTTCTACTGATCCAAGAAGTGTTAGATTAGGTTTGGCAAGTGATGGATTTCAACCTTTTGGGAATATGAGTGCCAATCATAGCATTTGGCTTGTAGTTTTGGTACCATATAATTTGCCACCATGGCTTTGCATGAAAAGCCCATATTTTATGATGACACTTCTTATTCCTGGTCCAAAGTGTCCAGGTAATGAAATAGATGTTTACTTACAACCAATGATTGAGGAGCTAAAACAATTGTGGGAAGTAGGGGTACAAACATATGATGCATTTTCTCAATCAAATTTTATTATGTATGCAGCAGTGTTGTGGACGATAAATGATTTTCCCGCATATGGAAATCTTTCAGGATGGTCAACTAAAGGCAAGTTTGCATGCCCTTGTTGTCACAAAGACACGCATTGCATTTCATTAAGGAGCAAGTTATCTTATATGGGTCATAGGCGTTTTCTTCCACAAAATCAACCATGGCGCAAAGATGCAAAATCATTTGATGGAAAAGAAGAACTCAGAGCTCCACCAATTCCATTAACTGGAGATGATGCACTTATGCAATTAGAACAATTGGGTAATATATCATTTGGAAAAGGCCAAAAACGAAAGCGCCCTACAGATAGTAAGGCTTATAATTGGAGGAAAAGAAGCATTTTTTTCCAATTGCCTTATTGGAAAAATTTGTTGATACGATAATCTTGATGTGATGCATATAGAAAGAAATGTTTTTGATAATCTTGTATCGACAGTGATGGATTTACTTGGAAAGACAAAGGACACATTAAAAAGTAGGTATGATCTGGTGGATTTGGGCATTAGGAGTAATTTGCACCGATTAAGAATGGTAATGATGTTTATAAGCCTCCTGCTCCTTACACATTATCTTCTGAAAAGAAACAATCCCTTTGCAAATTCTTGGCTAACTTAAAAGTACCTGATGCTTTTGCATCTAATATCTCAAGGTGTGTCAACATTCACGAGCGAAAAATATTTGGTTTGAAGTGTCATGATCACCATGTGCTATTGTAGGAAATATTTCCAATTGCAATACGTGGTTACTGCCTCCCCAAGTATGTGAACCAATAATACAATTGGGAAGATTTTTTAAAAATCTTTGTTCAAAGTGTTTAACATGTGAAGAACTTGACAAACTTCAAAGTCAAATAGAAATAACTTTGTGCAAGTTAGAGACCATATTCCCACCTGCCTTTTTTGACGTAATGGTTCACTTGCCTATACCTTGGCAGGAGAGGACAAAAGTTGGTGGGCCAGTTCAATATCGTTGGATGTACCCCATAGAAAGGTAATTCACTTTAACAAGGTTACTTTACAATTATATTTATAATCTATCATTTAAAACCATTCAATAAGGCTCGACTTTTTGTTGTAGGTATTTGCGAACTCTAAAGTCATATGTTGGCAATAAGGCCCAACCTGAAGGATCAATTGCAGAAGGATATTTGGCAGATGAAAGTCTAACTTTTTGTTCATGATACTTGAAAGACATTCCTACTAAATTTAATGTGCAGCATCGGAATGATGACATCAGTGATAATAATATCAGTAATGAGCTTTCGGTGTTCAAGAAAAGTGGTGAAGCTAAAGGACATTTTGAGTCAGTCTCTCTTTCTTATGAAGAGTATTGTCAGGCAAGAATGTATGTGCTCCAAAATTGTGAAGAAACTTGGCCATTCATAGAGTACGTCAACTTAATTTAACAAGAATGAATTTGTTATAATTTATATTTTTCTCACTTGTGTAAAAACATGTAGGGAACATAGGAGAGAACTTGAAGCTCGGGGATTAATGAGTGAGCAAAAGCAATATAAAGAGTTTCCTGATTGGTTCCGTTCACGAGTAAGTTCTAGACTTTGAGCTTTGAAGTTTATATTAATAATATTAATGCATATTTGGGGTGCTTTCTCCGTGGACAATCTTCTTTAATAGGTGATAGCATTGTCCACACAAGGCTTTGTAAGTCCTGAACTCAAAAGTTTATCAATTGGTCCATCGAGAGTGGTCAATTGTTACTCTATGTTTATAGGCAATGGATTTCGTTTTCATGCAAAAGATCGGGCAATAGGAAAAAGAACTCAAAATGATGGAGTCATGGCCAAGGG